AGGCCAGAGGTGGGTCTGGGCAGCTCCAGGGAGGCTGCGCACACTGACTCCCCGGCCTGCGCCCCAGGCAGGTGCTGGGCCCGAGTGCCACCCCCGGCTGCCTCTGCTCCTCTTGTCTTCCTTCGGGCTCCGAGGCTCTGGCCGAGCAGCCCCACGGCCGGCCCCCTCGGCATGGCGGAGCTGTGCAGATGCCTCCCAAAGCAGCAGAGGCCAAAGAAGGCTCAGACGCTGTCACATGAAACGAGGCGGAGAGGGGAGAGGATCAAGGACTGTAACATTATGAAGGAGGTGGACCAAGTCCCAGAAGACCAGCGCCAGGGGACGCCTGCTGCAATGAGGAGGTGACGCACTCGAACTACTAAGAGAAAGGACTAACTTTACGCGGCGCACTGTTACCGTGTAGAACTCGTTGCCACAGGAGGGGATGGAGGCAAAGCAGAACTGGGGCCAACAAGAGGCTGGAGAAATAGGTAGCCATCAACAGATGGATCATCCATTGAACAGAGCAGCTGGACGTGCCATCTCTGGCTTCTCTTGCCCAACAACGGTGGATGCTGGGGAGAGGGTTGAACGGGAGGGAGATCATTCCTGGCTTGGCTGGGAGTGGGGAGGCAGTAGTGCAGGGGTGGGGTGGGGTAAGGGCAGTTCCCCCTCTGCCAGTGGTCACTATACTGGTGAGGGGTAGGCTGTTGAGCAGCTCATGGATGCTTTTCTCCAGTGGCGCTGTGTTTACAAATGTGAGCCTGTGGACCGGGTGGGGGCAGGTACCCCTATGCTCTCCACTTTTTGAGCCAGCCTCTCCCTCCTGTTGAGGACCTGCCCCATCCCCCAACTCCTGCCCCCCTTGCATGTTGGAACTGCTCCCTAGCAAGTTCTGGAGGAGGTGGGTCACTTTGCTGTTTTGGGAAGGCACGTGGGGCTCCTGCAGAGGGAGAGGTGAAGCAGGAGTCGGGACCCCATCCCAGACATGCATAGACAAAAGGGCTAGGCTGGCAGTCTGCCAAGCCTCCCTCCTCCCCCCCACCCCATGCCAGGTAGGATGCAGCAAGGCTTCAGCCTGATGGCATGGTTCTAGCATGGGGGTTCCCTTACCTTCCTGAGCAGCACCAGGATGACCAGGCCTGGTGTGGAGAGGCTGGTGTTGATGGCCTGCATGTCTCCTGCAACCACTCGCCCTTCAACTGTGATATGTTCAGACATTTGCTGCCAGGTGAGCTGGGCTCAGTATGGCTCTGGCAGAGGGAGGGGCTGACACAGGACTGGCAAGAGACAACCATCTCTTCCCCGCCAAGCTTGCTGGGCACTCCCAGCATTGCCCGAGTCCCATGGGTTGCAGTTCTCCCCCAGCTCCAGATCATGTTGTCACTGCCACAAGATCCTGGTCCTGAAGCAGCTCCCTGCCCAGCCCCACACCCTGCCAGTGCTGCTGGGGCTGGTCTCTATGCAAACCCTGGCTCCCTGCTGGCACAGCTGCCACTCTTGGTCTTCATGGAGACCAGCTGCCACATACAGGGAGGGGTGCTGGGAAGTGGAGTCCACCACAGGCCCAGTCTGGTACATGGGCCACACTTTGCCTGTGCCTGCTCTACAAGATCTGAGTAGCTTGCTGGCTCACGTCCTTTGATTACTTCCCCCTTGGCTATTCGGGGAGCCATGGCAGTAACCCTTTCCTGAAGTATGTGTAGCTTCTCCCTTTTTTTTTCTGCTTTTCTCTGTCAAAACGAGCCATTCGAGCTCCCTTGGGTGCAGAAGCTGAAAGAGGTGAACACCTTGACTCCTTAGTTTGCTGTTCTTATCCCCCTCACTGCACGTCTCATTTCAAAGAGGCCACTGCTGTCTTGGCCTTTTCACATTAGCACCTTGCTACCTCAACCTCCCACTGGAACTTACCTGCTCTCTTTCCCATCTCCTCAGAAAACCGCTGTAGATCTAATAACTGGCATTTTAGCTCCTCCTTTAGTTTCAACTTTTGCTATGGCTTAAACTTGAATGAAAGCCTGACCCACTTGCTTTTTCTAAATCTCTGCCCCTCCCCTCCCTGCTAGGCTGGGGTTCTCCTTATTTGCCTGACCCAGGCCTTCCTCTGCTCTTGTTTGGCCCAAGGGTCCTCTTTATTTTTCTGGGAAACAAGTCCTTTCTTGCGCATGGCTGTCCCTGCCAATGCAAAGGTTTGTGTTCCCATGCCTCGATGGGTTTGTTTGATGGAAAATGAGGTGACCTAAGGGTCCTAGAGCAAGCCCCAGTTCTAGCTGCCAGCAGCCTCCTCCCAGACCCTGTTGAAGTCTCATTTCTGCCCCTTTTAAACTAAGTGGGTCCTCCTGACTTGCTCAGGACACCTAGTCTTAAGTGGCTCTATCCACCCCTTGCACCACACCCATGCCTTGCAGAATTACTGTCAGATCAGTAATTGGTTAGTTCTTGGTCTTCTCTAGCCTCTGCCCCTTTCCTCTGGCTGCAAGCTTCCAGTCCTGGCCCACAGTTTCAGGTCTGGCTATCTCTGCTTCATCCCTGTCAGTTACTAGTAGAGGCAGTCCTCCAATTTTAAAACACAACTGGTTCCTGAAAATGGCTTAAGTCGAAACATTGCAACTCCAGAACCAATTTTCTCATAAGAAACAATATTATAAATGGAGGATTGGCCCAATTTACCCTATTTTCACCAAGAATACCCCAGAACTTTGTACTCGATCAATTATAGATGAGTAATATAGCTACATTTAATGTACTTGTATTGTAAAAGGCAGTCATGGATTTGGAAGGACTTCTTTGAGGTGATTTTTGCTGGATTTTTTTGAAGGGTTCTTGGCTGCAGGTTTTTCTGGAGTCTTGTGTGCTTTCTTAAAGGAGGTGTCCAAGGAAGCTTGGACAGATGTTCTCCAGGGAGATGAGTGACATGGCAAACTTGTTCAC